GCACTATATATTAAAAAAAATATGCAGGTTTGTATTCCAAATGCTGTAGTATTCCTTTAAAGGGACACTACTTCCAAAATGTCAACCCCAATTTTTTTCTAATCGTTTGGTAGATATGCTCCCTATGAAAACATGGATGTTTTGCCTTCTCTCAGTTTAGTTCCTTCTACTGAGCTAAGCAACAATAACAGGACTGGTTGTCTTGACAACAGGGTATGTAAAATTTATGAAAGTGACAATTTCAATTAAGTTACACTTTTTGTAAAATACAAAAAAAAAAAAAAAAAAAAAAAAAAAAAATCACAAAGTAGTTCAGAACTGTTTCAGGGATTAAACTACTGAACCAAGCAATGGTAAAGAATACATAAAATAGGAGCCTTTATTGAAGATGTTCTCAAACTACAATAATCCTCTTAATTATCCAGTTTTTCACCCAATCAATAAGCAAACTCCTTTTCAAGATTCCACTATGTGCAGGATAATGTGTACTTCATCACATCCTCCTAATCCGTTTGTCTGCCACCATCTTCCACTTATTATACAGTAGCTTGAGCATATGTAGGAGTATTCTTACCTCCTTTTTAGATGGGGCAGTGCTTTCCTCTTCTGTTTCAGAAGCTGTGTATGCCTGATTATAGTCCATATCATCTTCCTCTTCTGAGAATGAAGGAAATAAGCATTTATAATACGAAAAGAAATATACACAATTTTTTTTTTATATATTAAACGGCAGGCTTTTGAACCAAATTTTATGGGGGCGCCGGGGAGGGGAGTAAATGTAGTAAAGCTCAGGCACTGTTTGATTAATCACCATTAAAACAAAAAAGTACCAGTAAATTAGACTACACACTAACAATTTATAAATTTGTTATGGGATCCTACACATCTCTCATATGTGAAAGAGAGCAGTCATCAATTGTCCCATCCACTCCATAGACCTGGGTTTGAAAATGTAACCTGGAACTTACAGGAACACTATAAGGTCAGGAAAGCAAACGTGTATTCCTGACCCTTTAGTGTTATAACCACCATTTTGGTGGCTTACGCCCCCAACCCCTTTAAAAAGTAAAAAAAATAACCTTATTTCCAGCACCACACAGACTTGCCAGCGTTGGCCATGCCCTCAGTCCGCAAGAATTCATAATATTTAGCCAATCCAATGCTATGGGAAAGCATTGGATTGCCTGAAATCGGGCAAGGAGGTGTAACGAGGCCAAACCTCGGCTTGGCCAATCAGCACCTCCTCATAGAGATGCATTGAATCAATGCATCTCTATAAAGGAAAATTCTGTGTCTCCGTGCAGAGCAGGGAGACGCCGAACGGCAGTGCTGCACACTGTGCAGCACTGCCCCAGGAAGCACCTCCAGTGGCCATCTGTGGAGTGGCCACTGGAGGTATCCCTAGGGGGCAAAGTAAATTTACATGAATTCCTGAAGGGAACGATTATACTCACCAGAACAAATACAATAAGCTGTAGTTGTTCTGGTGACTATAGTGTCCCTTTAAGACTTTTCATGGACTATTACATGGACTTGTCTTGAAGGGTTAGAAAGCAACACATACACAAATAGCTATACACTTACACAGACCTTAAGCAGCTCATTCAACTACACAATTTTCCACACACTGCATTAGCTGTGCAGGGTAAAATGAGAATGGAGTACACTACAGAAAGATTTTTAAGATTCTGATTTTAGAATATTTAAAGTCTTGTGAAAAAGGAAGTCATCTCACATCAACAAACATTAATGATTTTGATATTGTCACTGAATATGTAAATAAAGGTTAAAAAAAAAAAAAAACCCACGACAATTTGAATAAAGCCACCTAAGCAATCTAGAAAAGAAAAGAGGAAGGAGAAAAAAAAAGTAATCTCTTCAATAAGTAAATACATCTTAAAACGGAAGCAAATGTTAATAGTTTGTTACCTGTAGTCACAGGTATAGAAACCATCTCTTCTTGCCTGATCTCTTTGAGTTGAAGAATCTTCTCAAGTACCTGTGGAATCTTAGGACCAGTTGATGAATCATCAGACTAAAAGAAAGAAATTAGATTTTTTTTTTTTTTTTATTATATAAAAAGAAATACAAATACATATATATTTTTTATATCTACATTCATACATTATATATATATATATACACACACACACACACACACACACACACACACACAGTGTAAATATTGGCCAGCACACACGATCTTGAAGTAAAATGGTACTTTATTGAGAAATCTTTAAAAAAAAAAAAAAAGATCTACGTTTCAGCCCACGACCGGGGCTTTCATCATTAATGGGTTGATCCTGATGAAAGCCCCGGTCGTGGGCTGAATCGTCGATTTTAAGATTTTTCAATAAAGTACCATTTTACTTCAAGACTGTGAATGCTGGCCAATATTTACAATTTGTATATAATTTTTGGTTGTGGCTATTTATTGCACCCGGCAATTATATTTGCAGAGTACTGCTGTGTATACATCTGAGTGCAAGGACTGGACATTTTTACACACACACACACACACATATATATATATATATATAAATAAATAATGATAGCACTCCAAGGATTTCAAAAATATTGTGAAAAAAGCTTTTATTCAGGCATCTACCACAGAAGACCAACGTTTCAGTTCTCTAAGGAACTTTCGTCAGGATCCTACTTTAGGTATTTCCTAAATAGGTGCGTTCTAGGGAACTTCTTAAAAGGACCAGACGCAAAATGCCTAGTGGCTGTAACTTTTTAGGGGTTTAAACAAATTTTCATCAAAAGCGTCCTCAACAGTATTGCGCATTGTTACTGAATTATATGATACAAACAGTATCAGAAAAAATATTTGCCTTATATACAGCGAAATTTGTTCCAATTGTCTAAAGCAAGAGCAACTCACCTCTCTCAACTCTTCAGTAGGTGGCTGGTTGATTACACGGGGTCGGGTGATAGTGGGCAGCAGTGGAGGTATGGAGGATGCAATGGGAAGGTTTCCTAAACACAAAATAAACCGATGTGAAAAAAATGCCAAAAAGGTGACAAGGTATGAACAACAGAATCTGGAAAATTACCTCTAGGGAGAAGCAAGGAACGTGTGGTGGAGTTATCTTGCTCAAGAAGAGTAGCCTGGAAAATAGAAATATCTTAAGTAAGAATAAGCGACATATGAATAGTGGAAAAAATATATCGGTATTAGACAATACTAAGTCTGAATATTTTGAGCAAATATGAAGACAAAAATGTATTCAGATCTAGTTTACTTTTGGACGGCTGTCAGCTTGAATAAATAATGAGATTACCTGTTGCGGCTTACTGCCTTCAGAGTCAGAATTGATACGAGATGTCAAACCCAATGGGAACCCAAGTCCTAGAGTAGTAGATGGTGGTGGCCCTGAGAGAGGCATTCCTGCCATCTGAATGGGAGAGAACATAAAGCATTAATCTTCAAGATATTAAAAAGAAAAGAGCAGACAACAAAAGCAATCACGCAAAAAATATGATAAGCATGAAATAAGAGCATGTAGACAGGAAGTAAGTAACACAAGTACTTATTGTGCCAGAACGCCTCAAGGCGAATTCTTACCTTCGTTGGTTAAAACTTTTCTTTGAGCGGTGTACAAAATGCCATTTTCCAGCACAAACTTTGACATAAATTGGTTAAAGAATGGTGGCAATTTAAGGCAAAATATACACTATAAGATAACCTGGAGAGTGTGCTTTCTCAAAAGGAAATCCTAATGTGAACAGTCAAACTGCTAAAATGCCTCAAATCCATCCATGAAAATTCTAACCATAGAAACTGAAATTGCCTGGCATTGTAGCTTCACATAATAGTAACAACGGCACAAAATAGGAGTATTGTTGTACTTAGCAGATGCAGCTGAACACAATATGGGGCTTAGCACACACCAGCTTTAAGAAATACACATAAAAAAAAAACAAAAAAAAAAACCTTGTTACGTGTGTATGTCAAAAAAATAGAAAAAGCACAAATTTACTGCATTATTTAGCAGAATTTGGCAGAGAAATGGCTAAGAAAAAAAGTGTCAACCTTTATAGCGTGTGATGTCTACTTTATATAACTATATACTGCTGTGGGGAAATTTTGTTTTCTGTGATAGCTATTAAGCTTACAAGACAAACATCCAAACATCCAAAATAGTTTCAGATGGGAATTTTATTTTACTCCTTGTATTTTGTGACCTGTAACTTTAAAAATAAACTGAAATCCTATGTATATTATGTTCAATGTAAATCACGACAAAAATGTATTTTGAATTACTTTTTCCAAGCTGAACATATTATGCACATGTTATTATTGCTAATTATGGGGGGTATATAATATGTGTTGGTGCAATAAATAAGAAAAATGCAAACTGCAGTTAAACACAACCAAGCTGTTTTGGAGTATCACCTTTAAAAAAAAAAAATGTTTTTATATATATATATATATATATATATATATATATATATATATATATATATATATATATATATATATATATATATATATATACATATACATATACATACATATACATATATATACATACATACATACATATGTAAAAAACAGATAAAATTTGTATCTTGTAATACCTTTTTTATTGGACTAACAGAATATTTTAATGACCAGCTTTCGGGAGAACCTCCCTTTCTCAAGTCTGAAGCATTTCTGTCGTCTTGCTCAGAAATGCTTCAGACTTGAGAAAGGGAGGTTCTCCCGAAAGCTGGTCATTAAAATATTCTGTTAGTCCAATAAAAAAGGTATTACAAGATACGAATTTTATCTGTTTTTTACATCTACATCACTGGACTAACACGGCTACAATCTCTACTTGAACACGATTAAAATAAATATACATACATACACACAAAAAAAAAAAAAATATTCTTGGCACTCACCCTTTCATGTAAATCCAATTTAGCCTAAGTGCAATCCCGCATTGAAGATATATAAACAAAAGTAAAGAGATGCACTCTGAGGACTTAGTAAGTGAAAAAAGGGTAATTTATTCCAATAGGTATTACATCAAAAATTAGCTTGAGAAAGACCTGAATGGGTCGAACCGACGGCTAATTTTTGATGTAATACCTATTGGAATAAATTACCCTTTTTTCACTTACTAAGTCCTCAGAGTGCATCTCTTTACTTTTTTTTTTTTTATATTTATTTTATTTATCAATGTTTTCCTTTCCTTTTATACATAGTCAAATAGACAGTTATTATACTGATTTTATAAATATCAATATTACTTCCTTAGTTTTACTACAGTGATATATAATTATTTAATCTTCTGGAACATTATAGCATTAACATTATTTAATGTTCACAACAACAAAACATACACAAAAAAAAACAAAAAAAAAACACATTTATATGAGACTCGATGAGGGGTGGGTGTCAGACAACTCGTTATTATATAGGGAATTTGGAGGTCCAGGGTATCCAAAGCTCTTTCAGATCCTTAGTTAGAGATTCCATCTTATATTGAAACCTTATTTGCTCCATTATTTCTTGCCAAAGTGGTGGGTTAGGAGATTTCCATGCTCTGGCGATATTAATTTTTATTGCCAAAAATATATGTGTCATAATGTATTTTTGTTGTTTATCATTTGTTTTATAATCCATATTGAACAGAAACATTTCAGGGCTAATTGCTACCTCCTTAAAGATACTTTTCATTAAGTCTAGCATTTGAGTTTTGATGTTATTCAGGCCCGAACAGGCCCACCATATATGTAGCATAGTGCCCTCTTCTCTTTTGCATCTCCAGCATTCTTTTGAATAAGATGGAGATATTTTATGAAGTCTAACCGGGACCATATACCACCTATAGATAATCTTCAAGTGCGTTTCAAGTAAGGATATATTGTGTATACTTTGTTTTACTAACATTGTAGCATTTGTCCATTCTTTAAGTGGGAGGGATTTCCCCATATCCCTCTCCCACTTACCAAATGGAGGCACATCAACAACATTATCTAATATATCAAACAATTTATTAAATCTAGAGATTCCTCCTTTTTTTGACTGCATATAATATAGGGTTCAAGATAGTGATCTTTAATCAATATTTTAGTTAAGAGGAAATTCTTGATCCTTAGGTATTGGAATATTTCGCTCGGTAAAAACTTGTATTTTAGTTGTAATTGTGTATATGTCACCAGTTTAGATCCTTCGTATAGATTTCCAATTTTTTTTAATGCCAAGATGAATCCAAGTTTTAATATTTATATCTGACATAGCATATTGAAGTATATCTATAGGTGTATTAAGCAATATTTTTCCTTTAAGTTTCAGCTTAATATTCAAATATTTTGCAAAATCCACCATATCTCCTATAATTTTATTAGGAAACTTTTCCATATCCAGAGCCCCCAGGTTCAGAAGTCCTAGCCAACCTAAGATATTTAACTTTTGCCCTGGTACTGATTTCTGTTCAATTTTAATCCAAGATTTAGATATTTCTTGGTCCAAATTTAACCATGTCATAAGTTGGGAGGCCCTATTTGCCTCATACATCTTAATCACATCAGGAAATGCTATTCCCCCTTTCCGGTAGCTTCTACATAGAATTTCCGTCGCTATTCTGGGTGGTTTATCACGCCATATATAGCTAGAAAATAAATTTTGAAAACGCTTCAGGATGCCCCGTTCGATATTGTATGGAATCATCCTAAAAAAGTATGTAAGTTTTGGCATTAAGTACGATTTGGTAATGTTAACTCTTCCTATCCAAGATGGTTCTAATCTCTTCATTTTATGTATCTGGGATTGTAGATCCCTATATAGATCATCAAAATTTATCCGAATTGTCTTTGAGATATTAAATGTTGTTATCTTTATACCTAGATATTCAATTTTATCTTTTACACATTCTATATGGAAATAGGAATGCAAAGTTTCCAACTGTACCTTGGTCAATAAAGCATCTCTTTACTTTTGTGTGTGTGTGTGTATATATATATATATATATATATATATATATATATATATATATATATATATATATATATATATATATATATATATATATATACACACACACACACACACACACACACACATACACACATATACACATATACACACACACACACACACACACACTCTCTCACCTGCGCAAGCCTTGCAGCTGTAGAAAGCTCATTTTCTTCACGGACCTGAATAAAAAGGGTAAAATAACAAGAGTTGTAGAACCCAAGTATAGGATATAATAAATATATGGGAAGAAAGACTAAGTATGTTGATTATGTGTATAATGCCACCAAAACTCCTTAAGCGAGATGGAAATCTGTGTGAACAGGTTTTGCAAACCAACAAATTATGTAGATTTGTGTAAAAATATAATCATTTTAAAAATCTTTCATCCAACCTGTACATTGTTTGTGGGTCGATCAATCAGTTCCTCTCTGATTCCTAAAAAAAAATAAAAAAAAAAAAAATGCAGAAGTTACGATTGTGCATGTGTAAAAAAAATAATGACATGCATAGAGAATATTAAATGGCTTGCATAACACCGCCATCGCGGAGATCATCAATCTTGATGATCTCACACATAGGAAAGCATTTGGAGGATAACGCACATCCGCTTCAAATGCCATGCTGCGTCAATCACATCTCCTTGTTGAGATGCATTGAATCAATGCATCTCTATGGGGCACATTCAGCGCCTCCATGCAGAGCTTGGAGATGCTGAACGCAGGTGCTAAACAATGTGCAGTACTGGACTAGAAATCACCTTTAGTGGCCGTCTGAGTGACTGTCACTAATTGTTACTAGTCAGCAATGCAAATTTTTTTTAGCTGGCTCCTAGATTCCAAATAAATTTGTGTCAAGCCCTGAGTTACAGCATATAATAAAACATAGCATAAGTCTGTGAGAAAACAAATGTAACATTATGGCAAGTCCTTACTAAAACTGGTATGGGCCACACCAATCCGTACGTGCAATGGACAACAGTCAAAGACTGAGAGCATCACATATTTATATAGCACTAGCAAATTCTGTAGCACTGTACAATGGGTGGACCAGCTGGCATTGACCAGCAACTTAGCTGCGTCTGGTGTTAAATAGGGGCGGATGCGAACTATGTTTTTGAGATGGAAGCGGCAGGATTTGGCGATCAACTGGACATGGGGGGGTAAAGGAGAGGATGGAGTCAAAGAGAACACCTAGGCAGTGAGCCTGCGAGGTAGAGGTAACGGTGGCGCTGTTGACTTGGAGGGAGACAGACATGGGAGTAGCAAAACTTGAGGGAGGGAAGACAAGAAGTACTGTTTTGGACAGGTTCAATTTAAGGAAATGAGCAGCCATCCAGTTGGCAACAGCAGAGAGGCAGTCAGATACACGAGTCAAGAGGGGTGGTGAGAAATCAAGGGAGGACAGATAAATTTGCTTGTCATCCGCATAGAAATGATAATGGAAGCCAAAGGAGCTAATGAGTTTACCAAGGGAGGCAGTGTAGATTGAGAATAGAGGACCAAAGACAAACCCTTGCAGGACACCAACATAGAGGGATTGGGGAAAAGAAGCAGAGAAAGAAGCACTGAATGAGTGCAAGGAAAGGTAGGAAGTGCACCAGCAGAGCGGTATCTCGTAGACCGATATTACAGAGGATGAGAAGAAGCTGTTTAGTCATCCACCCTTGTCATTCCTTGGAAAACAATGATAATCCCAATTAATCTCAATTTTAAAAATTGCCACTGAATTTGGAGAGTATTCCAGCAAAAGATTTACTTAATATGTTTCACGGTTCAGATTCCAAGTCACATATTGCTTCAAATTATATTCTATTGTATTATTCACCTGTCGTTCCATAGAAAATAGCAATAATCCCAGGTAATTTCTATTTTGCAATCTGCTGCTGTACTTGGGGAACACCTGTGGTAAAGATTAATTTCCTACATAACACAGATTTGCCTGCAGTGAGTTTATGAGTTGCTTCCCATTATACTTTATGGGCATTCTCTTTATTATTCTTTATAAAGCGTCAACAAGTTACGTAGCGCTGTACAATGGGTGGACTAACAGACACGTATTTGTAACCAGACAAATTTGACGCACAGAAACAGAGGGATTAAGGGCCGTGCTCAATGAGCCTACATGCTACTGGGAGTGGGGTATAATGACACAAAATATAAGGGTAGGGTAGAAAAGTAGGTTGCTAGGATATTATTCACTGAAGGTTTAGTGTTTTGTTTTGATGACAGTTTCAGGAGAGGAATTAGGGTGCAGGGAGGAAAAGCTGTTGACAGTTTAATTGATATGCTTTCCTAAATAAGTACGTTTTCAAAGATTTTTTGAAGGAGTGGAGATTGGGTGAGAGTTTAACAGAGAGGGGTAGGGTGTTCCATAGGAACAGTGCAGCCCTAGAGAAGTATTTAAGGTGAGCATCAGAGGTAGGAGTACGTCTCCGACCGAGCGTAGGGGCCTAGACGGGACATATTTGTGTATTAGTGAGGATAAGTAGGTGGGAGCAGCATTGTGTAGAGATGTGTAAGCAAGTGTCAGGATCTTAAATTGAGCATTACTGGAAGCCAATGGAGGGACTGAAGGTGCTGGCGGGGAGGTGCTGGCGGGCAGGAAGATAAGCCTTGCCGCTGACTTTATTTTAGACTGTAACGGGACAAGTTGGGAACACGCAAGACAACTGAGAACCGGATTACAGTAGTCAAAGCGAGAGAGGACAGCAGCATGATACCTTTGCCATATCAGGTGCTAAATATGGTAGGATGCGCACAATGTTTTTGAGGTGAAATGGCAGGATTTGGCGATTGATTGGGCATGAGGGGTGAAGGAGAGGTCGGAGTCAAAGAGAACACCTCAAGACAAGGTGCTGCAGCAACTAAAGAAAGTTAATATAAACAAAGCTCCAGGGCCTGACGGTATCCATCCACGTGTACTTAAGGAACTAAGTGCAGAAATAAGTGAACCTCTGTTTTTAATCTTTCAAGATTCTTTTCTTTCAGGAAGTGTTCCGGAGGATTGGAGGAAGGCAGATGTGGTTCCTATATTCAAAAAAGGGTTCAAAATCCTTGCCTGGAAATTATAGACCTGTGAGCTTAACTTCTGTGGCTGGTAAAATATTTGAAAGTTTATTAAGGGATAATATTCAAGAATTCCTTGAGAAGAACATTGTTATCAGCAAAAATCAGCATGGTTTTATGAAGCACAGGTCATGTCAAACTAACTTGATTGCGTTCTACGAAGAAGTAAGTAGAAGTATAGATCAGGGTGTTGCAGTGGATGTGATCTATTTAGATTTTGCCAAGGCATTTGATACAGTTCCACACAATAGATTAGTGTTCAAACTCAAGGAAATCGGTCTAGATGAAAATACTTGTTCTTGGGTAGAACATTGGCTTAAAAACAAAGTACAAAGAGTTGTCATTAATGGTAAATTTTCAAGCTGGACAGAGCTGGCAAGTGGTGTCCCTCAGGGGTCTGTTCTGGGACCCCTTCTATTTAACATGTTTATAAATGATCTTGAAAACCGCATTGAAAGTCATGTTTCAGTGTTTGCAGATGACACAAAACTTTGTAAAACAATACAATGTGAGCAAGATATTACTTTGCTGCAGAGGGATTTAGATAGACTGGGAGACTGGGCACTCAAATGGCAGATTAAATTTTATGCTGAAAAATGCAAAGTTATGCACTTCGGCGTAAAGAATACACAAGCAACGTATACCCTTAATGGAAGCGAATTAGGGATAACAACACATGAAAAGGACTTGAGAATTGTTATAGACAACAAACTATGCAACAATGTGCAATGTCAATCAGCAGTGGCCAAGGCCAGTAAGGTATTGTCATGCATGAAAAAGGGCATTCATTCTCGGGACAAGAATATAATTTTGCCTCTTTATAAATCACTGGTAAGACCCCATATTGAATATACTGTGCAATTTTGGGCACCTGTTCTAAAGAAGGATATTATGGCACTAGAAAAAGTGCAGAAGCGGGCTACAAAATTAATAAAAGGAATGGAACATATCGGCTATGAAGAAAGGTTAACAAATTTAAACCTATTTAGTTTAGAAAAACGTCGCCTGAGAGGGGATATGATAACATTATACAAATATATTAGGGGCCAATACAAACCATTGTGTGGAAATCTATTCACAAACCGGACTTTACATAGGACACAAGGCCATGCGTTTAGACTGGAAGAAAGAAGATTTCGTCTAAGGCAAAGGAAAGGTTTTTTTACTGTAAGAACAATCAGGATGTGGAATTCTCTGCCTGAAGAAGTGGTTTTATCAGAGTCCTTACAGATGTTCAAACGGCTACTAGATGCATACTTGCAAGAACAGAATATTCAAGGATATAATCTTTCAATGTAGGGTAATAACTGCTTGATCCAAGGATAAATCTGACTGCCATTCTGGGGGTCAAGAAGGAATTTTTTTCCTAGCTTGTTGCAAAATTGTGCTTCAAACTGGGTTTTTTTGCCTTCTTTTGGATCAACAGCAAAAAACAAATGTGAGGAAGGCTGAACTTGATGGACGCAAGTCTCTTTTCAGCTATGTAAATATGTTACTATGTAACCTAAGCAGCAAGCCTTAGAGGTAGAGCAGATAGTAGCGCCATTGACTTGGAGGGACACGGACAAGGGAGTAGCAACACTTGAGGGAGGAAAGACCAGAAGTTCTGTTTTGGACAGACTGAGGTTAAGAAAGTGAGCAGCCATCCAGTTGGAAATGGCAGAGAGGCAGTCAGAGACACGAGTCAAGATGGGCAGAGAGAGATCAGGAGAGGACAGGTAGATTTGTGTGTCATCTGCATATAAATGATAATGGAAGCCAAAGGAGCTGATGAGTTTACCAAAGGAGGCAATATAGATTGAGAACAGTAGAGGACCAAGGACAGAACCTTGCGGAACGCCAGAGAGGGGTTGGGGAGAAGAGGCAGAGACAGAGAAAAACACTGAAAAAGCACTGGGAGAGTAGGACGAGCACAAATAGAGAGCAGTACCTCATAGACCGAGATTATGGAGAATGAGAAGAAGCTGTTGATGATTAACAGTGTCAAAGGCAGCAGAAAGATCAAGGAGAATTAGGATAGAGTATTGGCCGCGAGATATAGCAGCTTTTAAGTCGTTGGATACTTTGGTCACAGCTGTTTCAACAGAGTGATGAGCGCGGAATCCAGACTGAAGTGGGTCAAGCAGAGAGTTGGATATGAGGAAGTCTGTCAATCTCGCATACATAACTCTCTCAAGAATCTTGGAGGCAATTGGCAGTAGCGATATAGGGCGGTAGAAGGATAAAGAGTTGGGGTCAAGGTTGGGCTTTTTCTGAATGCGTTATGGTTGCATGCTTGAAGGGTGAGACAGAGATAAGATACGAGGGAATAGGATCAAGGGAACAGGTGGTGCGCTGGAGGACCGGAGCAGAGCAGAAACCTACCGCTGTAGTAGGTGCAAGTGAGCATAGAATAGTATAGTGAGTGGGGTTGGGTGATGTATTGATTGTAGAAATCTTCACTGTGAAGTGAGTTGCAAAGTTTGAGGCAAACAGGGTTGTAGGATGAGGGGGAGCAACAGGGCGAATGAGAATGATGGCATTAAAAGTGTTTAATAGGCATTTGGTTTGGCGGGACAGTGTGCTTATGTTCTCTGAGTCTATCACTACCCACCCTACTTCACCCAAGTTAACAAGGTATGTACAGGCCGAGCACAAACAGCAGAGACGTGGCCAAGGATGCTAATTCACTTAAAAGTGGTGAAGTAGTTGTGAAGCTCTGCGTGTTCTTTTAAAGAAATATTCCAAGCACCTTAAACCACTAGAGTGTCTTGGCAGACATTCAAGGTAAGTGGTGACAAATAACCTGGCTCTTCCGCAGCCAGAAAGCTCCCTGCATTGAGCTATCCTGTGATACAGGGAGGTGCTTATTTTACGCTCAGTCAACTAGCTTGCACTTAGCGAAGTGGAGCTAATGGAAGCTACCTGCAGGACCTTCCAGATCCACAGGCAGATGCAACAGAGTGAAGGTAAGTTTACAAACCATTAACTATTTACCCTGGGAAGGCACCCCAGCAGGCTGAAATAGTTATGTTATTGGAGTGTTTATTTCATCTATACATAGGATAAGTGACTCAGATGTGTAATTATTTGAAGATCACTTCATCCTACATCATGAAGCCCCTAGTTTGGACACGTGTTTGCATCAAAATCATGTCCATAGCATTCTAAATTGCAAAAAGCCTTTTGTGGCTTTTGGAGATGATCAAAACACACCTAAATCCACCACAGAGACCATATATGTTTGTTTTTACTTTTTCTAAGCACACCATAAATTACATAAACACTGTACACAAAATTTCAGTTGCATGTTTTAGGGAGACTAAATCAAATGTATTAACAGCTACGATGTTATCCTTGCATTTTATAAAAAGCAACCCAACACACCCATTCCTGTAGAACTCTCTTCCCTTCTCCTTTAGACTTTCACCCAGTCTCCATACCTTTAAATTGGGGGGGAGAAAACACTTCAGTAAAGTGTATGAATTAAACTTGTAACAGCTTTCCCTACCCGCACCTTGATTTCTCTCCTGCAACAGTCAACACACAAAAAAAAAAACACACTAAACCCTCATTGAATACTTTTCTACCTCTAACCTTCCTCACCTTTCGTGTCACTATTCCCTCTAGCATGTAAGCCCATTGAGCAGGGCCCCCAACCCCTCTGTTCCTGTGCGTCCAACTCATCTAGTTACAATGAAGTGTCCGTTAGTCCACTCCTTGAATAGTGCTGCAGAATTTGTTGGCGCTTTATAAGTAATAATAACCTGTGCTTCTTAACAGACACAAGGAGGAAAACCATTTATGAAGTATATCCAGCACCAGCTATTTCCCCATAGGCAAGTATTGATTAAATGCTTTCCTACTGGGAGGTCTTAGGGCCTGCTTGTCGAGGGTTGTCGGTGGAGACGGAGTCGCATCCAAGCGCCGAAAGGCATTGGCACTTGGATCTGATAAGTAAATAAAGGGGTTTTAACCCTTTAGGTACCGGGGTGGGAGGGGGAGCGCAAGGTAGTGGGGAAGCTATAATAACAGGAATACAGCTTTCCTGGCACTATAGTATCTTTTTAACTAATCTACTAAATAACTGCACACACGTCAAATTAAAGGACCACTATAGTGCCAGGAAAACATACTCGTTTTCCTGGCACTATAGTGCCCTGAGGGTGCCCCCACCCTCAGGGTCCCTCTCCCGCCCGGCTCTGGAAGGGGGAAAGGGGTAAAAACTTACCTTTTTCCAGCGCTGGGCGGGGGAGCTCTCCTCCTCTTCTCCTCCCCGTCGGCTGAATGCACACGTGCGGCAAGAGCTACGCGCGCATTCAGCCCGTCGCATAGGAAAGCATTGTCAATGAGACAGCCACTAGAGGATTAGGGGGAAGGCTTAACCCATTCATAAACATAGCAGTTTCTCTGAAACTGCTATGTTTATAAAAAAATAAAAATGGGTTAACCCTAGCTGGACTTGGCACCCAGACCACTTCATTAAGCTGAAGTGGTCTGGGTGCCTAGAGTGGTCCTTTAAGGACTCTCAAAAATGAGATCAAGTGGAATAAAAAAAAAAATGAGGCTAACAAAATTCAAGCTGTGACAATGCACATTGATAAGTAAGCCAGGCGGCAGAAAAACACACAAAAGCAGTGTAATCTGGCCTGCAAGCTAGTGCAGGTCAGTGGGTGTAGCATACATTACATTGGTTATAGGATACTTTGTTGAGGTTTACACTGAATCTTATTTTATGGCATTTCATTTATCTGATATCGAGTCCATACTAATAACCAGAGGATGATGATCAGCCGCCAGTGTACCGCCACCCACGAGACAGCGATATTTCGCAAACCTTGTGGGCAACGACAATATTGTCGGATGTGTAAATCCTTTCTCCCGAGAGTAATACGAATGAACACATAAAATGAACAACCGCAACAAATGTATGTATTTAAATCTTACCCTCTGCAGTCTCCGCCATGTTTTATTAGCTACTGAAAACGACTATACTATGAGAGTCGCCGAAAATGTGCGTCACACGTGGAAGTTCGCGCATGGAAGAGCCGTAGAGATCCAAGCACTAGAGTACACTCATCTGATGCGAGAAGGGGAAGGGGGAGGAATTACAATTAGAACGTCACATTTATCATGTAAATTTCGGATTTAGAAAGCCACTACGAAACTCTTCACCAAAGTTATATCAAGGCTGCCAGGATCCATGTGTTGAAAGGGTTGTACCATGGCCGTTAATAGCTAATGAACGATAAATTATGTAAATTGTGTTTTCTTTTATTTACAATTCGAACGCAGGAAGGGGTGGTGGCGGCAAATTGCTTTTGGAGTCTTTCGTGTGGATTATATAGTATTTACTTAACTCTTGTATTCAAATAGTAAAAACATTAACCCTAAAGTAGAGGTTATAACCCCCTATCAATCTCCTCACAGGTAGTATGTAGCTGGTGTGCCCACATGCCTTTGTCTCAAACTAAAGAGAGTTATCCACTAAACAGGAAAATTAATTCTTAATTACCAGTATATGCCTTTCCTAGTAATGTAGACATGCCAAAACTAATGTCAGGGAGGCAGCTTCACAAGCTAGGCGGACTAGACAGACGTGAGAGAATGACACAGCGTGCGTTTTGATTGGTCTCTTTGAAAGAGAACAATCAGGATGCGCGCTGTGTCATTCTCTCACTACGTCTGTCACTAGGTTTCTCTAGAGCTTGGCGTCTTCCTGGAGTGGCTGACGTGACGGCGCAAATCCAGAACCTAATCTCGGGAGGGGCACTGGTAGTGGGATGTAGTAGTGTGATAGAGGCTGTAATTGAGAAGTTATGGGCTGTAGTGGGGGGTATGAGTTGTAAAAGGAGGGGTTAGGAAATGTAGTGGGGGGATAAGGGCTGTAGGAGGAGGGCTAGGGGGACATATTAAAAGGAATGACAGATTGGAATGCCCATAGACTTTAACAAGGCAGTGGAATGCCCATGGACAATAATGGAAGTGAAAGGAATGCCTATAGAGAATAACGAAAACAAAATATTTAAATTAGAGACAAAACTTTTAGACATATTTTGCAGGCATACTCCAGGTTCAGTGACATTTTTTAAAATTTAGATTAAGTGGGATTATCATTGTTTTCTATGGAATGACAAGGGTGAATGACTAAAGAGAATGCCCATAGAGTATAATGGGAAGCAAAATATAAACTCATTTGCGGGCAAATCTGTATTACATAGCAAATTAACCATTACCACAGGTGTTCCCAAAGTACAGGTTGTAAAATTAAACGTAACTGGGATTATAGCTCCTTTCTGAAATGACAGGTGAATGATACAATGGAATGCCCATAATGTATAATGGGAAGCACTATGTGACTTGGAATCTAAACTGTGAACCATATCAAGTAAATCTTTTACTGGCATACTCTCCAAGTTCAGTGGCAATTTTTAAAATTGAGATTAGGTGGGTGTGACAAACTCCCCTTCTCACATGAGTTTGCCACAAGCTCATGGAGGAGCCTGCTTTCCAGCCTCTTGCCCATAGACTATGGCCCTGCAGGGAAACCTGTAAAAGACTGTTTAACTGGCTTGGTTCGTGTAATTTCCCTATACCGTCCGGGAACCGCACGAACCAGGGACCACCCGCGAGCTTGTTAACCCCTATCAACACCTTGGAACGGTTCTCACCTCAATGTTGTAATTGATGTCTGGGTGGCCGCAATTCATAGGAACAACCACGAGGTGGCGGCCATCTTGTTTGCATGAACGTTTGGTTGTCAAGTTCATGGAATAAAATCGGACACTGAAACTCCCAAACACCGCTGGACTTCCATCATTGCCTGTGTTCGGCTCTACGGATCCTAGAAGAACACTGTTCGGTGGAACCGTTCGTCTGAATGAGGGGACAAGCTCCACGGTTCAATCAGAGACTACTTTCAGTATTTTATTAATTTCTATGTTACTAAATTTGACCGACCGCTAACCCTGATTTCATTGAACTGCGCATAGGATCATGCACACGGTCAGTCCATACAAAATGATAACGTGCAAATACTCAAAGTTAAAGTGGCATTCAAATTGTCGAACGCACTTCGATTTCCGTCAAAGTGTTGAAGTCTGGAGAAGGTAAAGTTCAGCGGTGTTCCATGAACTCGACGACCAAACACCACTGAAGGTGTTCGACTGAATTAAAATGGCCGCCGCCACGTGTTCATATGTCAAATGGCGGCCAATTCAACTACTTCGGCTGCATCCAAAGTGACACTTCGAAAGTGCAAATCCTTTCCAATAGTTTTTAAAGGGGCAGAAACAGTACTTTAGCTTTTTAAAAAGCAATACACCCAAGGGGCCATAGTCACGGGGCAAATGAAGTCCAGGAACATGTACTTTGAGGAAATAAACATTAGGAAGGAGACTCACACCATAATCACCGCAGGAAGGAACAAAACCACCATAACTACAGCAAATCAAAGAGGGGTTTTGTTACACCATTATACTCTATTTGCATTTCATTGTATCACCTGTTATTCCATAGAAAAGAATAATCACAGGTAATTTCTATTTTGCAATCTGCTGCTGTACTTGGGGAACACCTGTGGTAAAGATTAATTTGCTACATAACACAGATTTGCCTGCAAATTAGTTTATATGTTGCTTATCATTAGACTCCATGGGCGCTCTCTTTGGACCTTCACCCTTGTCATTCTATAGAAAACAATAATAATCCCACTTAATCTCAATTTTAAAAATTGCCACTGAATTTGGAGAGTATGCCAGTAAAATATTTACTTGATATGTTTTACAGTTCAGATTCCAAGTCACATATTGCTTCCCATTATACTCTATGTGCATTCCATTGTATCATTCACCTGTCATTCCATAAAAAGAGCTATAATTGTAGATTATGCTAACATAGTATACCTATAATTTTAATAATGACAGGAGGCGAGTATTTGGCATAACTTTCTTTACTTATGCCACCAGCAGCATAAGTCAATCAATAAACTTTAAACCAATCAGTAACAGGTATCACATCCATGTAGAAAGCCCTGACAGACACATGACTTCCTCTTTCTTTGAAGTGAAAAACAGTCTATAACAAAGTCAGGGAACATAGCCAAAGTCCTGAACAACATGGCAAACGTAAACTTGATCCATAACGGGATAAATCCCATCTTGTCCGACATAGAATCCACCAGTGAAGATCACACTGAAAAGAACAGAAACAAGTGAAAAGTGATGGAAATAGACTGATGTCCACATAAATTCCAGTGTCACTATATATCAATATAAATTATAAAATAACGCATCTTCTAAAGTTCTAACATCATGAAATATACACACCAATGATAGACGTATATTACCACATAAAACATCATATGAACACACAAGATTAGATGAACTAAACAAAATAAATTTCTGAGCAATTGGAAAAATCAGTAAAACAAAATTTCCCATAGAAAAGGGAGGGAAAGAACAGGGAGGGAAAATACTCACCTCCTGTCATTAAAATTAAGATTATAGGTACCCCAACATTAGCATAATCTACAATTTTATCACATGACAGGATTCTTCATATTTTGCATTTTTAAAGCTGTGGTAATAACGAGAAAGATGCGTGTGTAGTCTGACGAAAATAAAATATGCGTACAGTGTCTTCCCACGTCCAATCTGCCGAGCGTAAAATATCAGAAAGCGAAGCTTCCGCCGAGAACACCCGAGAGGCGGCTGTGCCTTGAACCGAGTTCGCCACGAAAGACGTCTCCACCCCGCCAGAGATAAAAGCCAACGAACCCATCTAGCCAGAGTGGTAGTGGTAACTGGTTTGTAAGGTCTGGTATAGGAGACCAGAAGTTGACCGCATTGCGAAAATCTAAGGGGTGTAGTGACCTCCACATATCGAGTAAGCGCGTTCACTACATAGAGATGGGGTACCGTAGGAAGAAAGGGGTAAGACACTGATGTGGAATCCGTTTTAGTTCTATTAGACACCGTAAAGGTCATTCCTTCCGGTGAAATCGAGAACCCATCCACGTCGAACGCCCAAACGTCCAAAACTCGTCAAAAAGATATCAAACATAAAAGTAATGTGAGTTTGGCCGACAGTTGATGAAGAGACAGTTCTGAATTGTCTGGCCAATCCCGAAGGAAACGAAGAACCACATTGTGACGAAGTGCCCTTCGCCACTTGTGCCTGGAGAGGACTGCTTGCCCGCCTCTTGCCCTGTGACTATGGCCCCTGGGATGTATTGCCCTTTAAAGACATGATTTGGGCATAATGGATTTGTGTTGTGCTGCTGCTGGCCCTTTAAGAACCATCTGGGGACATACTGTGGAGTTACTGGGTGGCAACCATTTCCTGTATCAGAAGCACATGGTGAGAACAATGGATGGCGGCCATTTTAACTCACAGACACTGTTTGGACTTTTCAACACGGTGCCATCTCGCCAGTATTTGGTGCACAGAGACATCGTGCAGTGGTTTTGGACTATACAGCAGGGGACACATTATACAGTGATTGTTTTTCATTTAGCCTGTATATGTTCTGCAGAATCTGCATTAAACTGTATTTTCCAAAGTACTGAACGGATCTGGGTGAATTTTGGATATGTGGTTCACCCAGATCCCCCGGTTCCAAGGATATACTTTTTATGGGGTTATTGCATGTTTTGGGGTCCCTGTGTGTTTTATGAAACTGTATTATTTCTGGCCAGCAGATAATTGAGCTTTGTGTATTGTAGAAACTCAATTATCTAGCCTGGCCCAGAGGAGGAGTTTTGTGTTGCATAAATTGTGAGTTCTGTGTGCCAGTAAATCAGTCTTGTTCCAGCATTAAGCCTTGGCTCATGTTTGGGGGAAGGGATACCTACACTCTGGGGATTGCTATAATCACTTACTCCCCAGAGGAAGCTCTTGCAATAGCTTGATTTGTTCCTGTTCCTGCTCTCTGGGGAAAGAGAGGTTCACCCACTGGAAGCTGGATCCTGGCCTTGGGTCCAGGGTGGGTGGAAACAGCAGAGACCCCGGCGCAGTTGCATCGCTGGAAGTGGGGTCTGCAGTGCTGATGGTGTCGGTTGGAGTGCTTGGAGTCCTCAGCGAGCACTAGGAGCATCGATTGGCGGAGGTACTCAGTCGGAGTGCCAGCGTTCCGTCACACACATCTACGTCCCACAAACGGTTGTACTTCAGTGCCGGCGGTCTAGATAGTTTGATACCCTGCAACAGGCGACATACCAAAGGATCCTGACAGACCGGAGTACCATGAACCGAAACGTGTGCCGCCGAAATCGCAGAACGTGTAACGTTAATGGACCGGTAAGATCGTCCTTCTGTGAAAAGGTACGATAAAAAATTGAACACCATGGTGATAGGTGCAGTAAAGGGATCAAAATCCCTTCCCACACCAGTGGTTCCAGGAATTCCATGCTGATATGTAACCATAATAGGTCTATAACTGGTTGCGATAGTCCCTCGACAGTCCAGGCTCCCCTGAAAGACTCCAGGCCACTAATTCCAGACTCTCCTGTAGGATCAGTGGATGCGGTTCCCCTTTTGGATCTGTCAAAAGTAATGTGAACGACGGGAGGAGTAGAGGGTGATCTTGAGCTAGAGCCAACAAGTCCAGGAACCACGCCTGACTTCTCCACAACGGCGCGATGAGTATCATCGAAATCTTGGT